GATTATATTTTTTAAATACTTAGCAATATATTAAAAACAAATGTTGATGTATTTATCAGATCCAAATCGACGACATTCCAAATCGACAATACTCTTATACTATTTGCAAAATATTCAAAGAAATCAAGTTAACAAATTAATAGTGACTTAATCAAGTTACGTACCTTTAAAATTTGTTTGAATCAACTACTTTGTTGATATATGATAAGATACCTCTTAAAAATACAAAACATTTGCTTATATAATGCTTTTTAATATTTCATGCCACCATATTTTAAACAAGAGACTCTTGACTATTTGGTATTATTACATATATAGAGTTTACAATCACAGCATGTAAATACACATATTTCTTATTTTCAATAGTATTTTAAAAATTATTTAAATTAAATAGTAAAATATTCAAAAATTAGAAAAATACTCAAATATTTTAAAAAACAATTGAAACTGTAATACCCCGAATCTAATTTAATTTAAAAGAAAAGTAAACGTTTTCTCAATATTTCAAATGAACATGTTTTGCGACAGGACCAAAATATAAGTCACTTGTTCATTATAATAACATGTTTTGAAAATAAATAACCTTTAAAACTTTGGCAGTGTAGTTTAAATACTATTTCCTTTACTGATTTTATTAGAACTCACCCTAATCCATATTCCCCCTTAGATGATGTTGAAAGTGACGATTTGTTCACTCAGTTGCCCATTGAAGCTTGTTTAGATCCATTCTCGGATCTTTAGAAGGACTTTGAGTGCATTATCTGTCCGCGCTATGATGAAACACTCTTATAATGAAAGAAGTAGTTTTTTATAAACTTGTGTATATGTATTTTGGCAGTCATCTTGATGTCATATTGGATAGTCTAAATTTAGTGTCAAGGATGCCAATCTGCATCAATGAGGAATCTAGCAGGTCCTAACTCAAATAGAAAAATAAGTTTCAGTTTCCTAAATGGGAACGCCCAGAACAGGAAAGTAATTTCATTCCTGACTATTTTCCTAATTGGGATTATTCCAAGAGATGGACTAAGTTTGTTCAAGCCAAAAGACTTAAGGTCCAAGTAAGATTAATGAGTTTTAATAACTAAAATGAAGTCCAAGCTTTGGGTCCAACTCAAAAAAGCCTCAAGGCCTTATGGTTAAGATGGGCCACGACCCAAAAATGTTGCACCCATGGGCAGCCCCCACCCGAGGAAGATGGCCCATATGTGCACACCAAGTACATATGCGCTACAAGGCCCGCACGCATATAGGTTCAGGCCGAGCAGTAGCTCTACCTGCATAGCCCAAGAGACTTGTTGGCCCCACACACAGAATCAGTCGTGCGCTCAGGAGGCTGAACGCGCGCCCTGCGCGGATGAACCCTTGAACGGCCCAACTGGCCCAAGCCCACTAGCCCGTGACTCCTGCTGGCCTTCTCTCGCGCAACCCACGCGGACTAACTGGCCCCCTTTTTCTCTTTTTAAATTATTTAATATTTATTTATTTATTTTATTATTTTAAAATCTTTTAAAAAGGCTTGGGACCCACTTTTCAAAATATCCATGTGTTAAAATTAATTTTCACATGTGTTTTAAATAGATTTCACATGGGATAAATATAGATTTAAATTAAATATTATTTTAATTATAACTATGTCCCTTAGGATTATTTATTTATTTTATTTGGGATAAAATAATTATTTTATTATGTAATTATCCTAAATTAAGATAGAATTTTATCTAGAGTATTATTTTATTATTTATATCAAGATTTTTATACTCATCTAGATTGTCTGGGAAAGGTTATAAATAAACCTTTTTCCCTAGGCGTTTAACACACATTTGAGAATAAATTTGAGAGTATTCTTGAGAGCTTCAGTTTTTTTCTTTTAGCATTTTCACTAAAATTAGCTTCTTCAAGTTTTTTGGGAAGCAGGAATCTTCAAAAATCTTGTTGAGCCAATGAGCGGAGATCAACTTATCGAGAAGTTCGTGACATTTTTCCTTTCCTTGTTTTATTTCTCTGATCTTTCTTTTTACTTTGTTTTAGGGTTGTAGATTTAATTAGAGGGAGGAGTTTAATTCTAGGCGGTTATTGTTTCAGAATTACATACGTTGAGTGGGTTTCAAGAGTAGATTTGATCCTCCCCATACCCTCTCGCATCATCTAGTATCGGAGCTTTGACTCTTAAAAACCCAAATTTATCTTTATTTGCTTTAGTGTTTTGTTCCTAAATTAGCCCTCAAATTTATTTGATTGTTAATTCGTATTTATCCATTCAATTTAAGTAGTTTGTGTTATTATTCAAAAAAAAAAATTATATATCCAAAAATACCAAAAATATCCTAATTGCACCCCATAAGGCAATTGGCACATTGTTTGCATTTTGCATCATAAAAGTAGAATAGCCGCCTAATTGGTGACCGAAAATCCTTTGAGAAATCGAAGGCAAAGTACATTGCCTAAGTGGTGTGAGTAAAAACTTTTGTTTTCTTTCCGCACACTATCCACGTTTAATTCTCAATTTATATTTTTGTAATCTACATCAGTGTTGCATAAACAAACTTGACCAGTCGTAGAGCATAGCCAACAAATTGGGGGTAGTATAGGAAGATACATCTGCCAATTATATCCATCAGGATTGATCAAATCCCTACATATCAGTTCGAATTGTCATTCTTTGTGATCTATGTTTCGTTTTTTATTTTATGCTTGTTCCGTTACATAATTAAGCGACTAATTGTTAATAGTTGCTTAACACACAAGAAGCACACTAGTCCTTCTTTTGTGTGCTTGTTTATAAGCTTTAGTAGAAATCAGAATCTTTTAGGGTTCCTTGTTATGTCATAAGGACTAATGTGCAGACTGGATTCAAGCGATTCTGATTCCAAATGCTCAACTTGATAGACGAAGCTGTCACTTGAGGGATTACAAGGTAAATACGAGTGAAGGTGAGGGGGAGAATGTATTCTTTTCACTAACCTTCCTTGCAGGTACTACACTATGTGTCAATCCATCGAAGAAACTCCACTTGAGAGTAATGTCCTTGTTGTCCGAAGAGCTCTCAACATGCAAATTAGGAGTGAAGACAACAAGCAGAGGGAGAACCTTTTCCACACACAATGTCTTGTCAATCATAAGGTATGTGGAATGATCATTGACAATGGTAATTATGTTAATCTGGTAAGCACTCTATTCATGAAAAAAGTAGGGTTGACATGCATCAAACATCTAAATCCCTACCAGTTACAGTGGTTGAATGAGTGTGGTGAAGCCTAAGTTACCAAACAAGTATAGTACCATTTTTTACTGGAAAATATCACGACCAGGTATACTGTGATATCGTACTTATGTACACCAATCACTTGATACTTAGGAGACTTTGACAGTTTGATAGACAGGTACAACATTACGGCCTCACTAATCAATATTAATTGCGAAAGAATGGTCTAAATTATGTCCTTACACCTTTAGCACCGAAAGAGGCACATGAAGATCAGGTCAAAATTAAACGATCCTTTGATGAATATTCAAGAAGGGTAGAAGAGAGAAAGAAGGCCGTAGAGAAATTCAATGGCCTATTAGGCATAAAGGATGCCCAACAAATAGCTAAAGATGGTCCACTACAAGAAAAACTAAGAGAGAAAATAAGGGAGTGTCCTGAAGACAAGGATAGAATGTTAAGGAATATCTCTTGTGGAAAGGGAAGTTCGATTGTACTTATCTACGGGGAGATTCATTTTGACCTTAACTACTATTTATATAGTCATCATGTTTTCCTCTTATATATAATTACCATGGTAAGTGGGCTACAGATATTTGATCCAGATCCTGGAGAAATTGTGAATCAAGTCGCGACTTGCATCAACAACAAAGTGAAAATGCCAGGGAGGTATGACGTGTTTCCTATTATAGTCACTAATCTTTTCCCTTATAATGAAGGTCCAGATTCGAAGACGAATCTTTTTGAAGAATGGGGGATGATGTGATATTGGATAGCCCAAATTTGGTGTCAAGGATGCCAATCTGCATTAAGGAGGAATCTAGCTGCTCCCGACTCAAATAGGAAAGTAAGTTTTAGTTTCCTAAACAGGAACGCCCAGAATAGGAAAGTAATTTCATCTCTGACTACTTTCTTAATTTGGATTATTCCAAGAGATGGACAAAGTTTGTTCAAGCTAGAAGACTTAAGGCCCAAGTAAGATTAATGAGTTTGAAGAACCAAAAGGAAGTCCAAGCTTTGGGCCCAACTCGAGAAGGCTTTAAGGGCTTATGTCAAGATGGGTC